CCAACTCATCTTCCCTATCCGCTTGCTATCTATTTACCCAGTTCGACATTTTCTCTCTCTTCCCCTCTTCCTCCCTTTCATCCTCCACTTCGCCTCCTCCTAATAAGCAAAGTTCACCGACGTAATCCACCCTCCCGCGTTGGCCATGGAGTAGTGTCGTCGTACGGCAACAGATGTCGCCTCTATCGATGGCACCTGCAGGGTCCACCGGCCGTGTTCTCGTTTCTGTTCTCATGTGGAAACCAATATTGGCCGTGTTTCGCGTCCCGGCTCACTGGTATGTAATTGGAATCGGTTTCTGTTGCTTATCTCGATGCTTAGTTACGCATTGACCGTTGCAGGCTCTTCCACGCTCGCCGTACCGGATTCCCGCGTCTGCACGCTACGCGAACCGATTGTTTTTCCGCCATCTTGCTACACCCACGGATTCCTAAAATAAACAGAAATCGAGATCGAGAAAATATCCTATGATAAACGAAGATATTTCCGCCCTGGCTGCAGCGGAGAGCCCAGGATATTGGTAGGATTTTCATATTGTTGCCGACCCACGTAAGCGCCATACAATAACATTAACATTCACTTTTTGATGCGCGTTCTTGAAGGTACGCTTCTTCGCCTTACATGGCTGCAGCTTCCTATTCCCAGACGTTTATTGTAAAGTACGAAAATGTGCACGGTATTTTTCTCTCGTTACCGTAATTTAACGACGTACTATCTAGTAACGGTAACTGAATATATGCGGCATCATTTTCCACAATCGAGTTTCTTGCACCTTTTTTCTTGATTATGTTAAATTTCTCTTATCTTTCTCTCTCTCTCTCTCAGTGTACAGATACACACACACAGCACACACACAACACACACTCACTCACACACACACACACACACATACACATATATATATATATATATATATATATATATATATATATATATATATATTATATATTGTGTGTGTGTGTGTGTGTTGTGTGTGTGTGTGTGTGTGTGTATGTGTGTGTGTGTGTGTGTGTGTGTGTGTGTGTGTGTGTGTGTTGTGTGTGTATGTGTGTGCACACATACATATATACACATACACAAGTGTACACGCAATTACGAATGATAACTGGATCCACATTCATTGTACTGTAAATACTGTATTTATATATATTTTTTTCACAATAAATAACAAACATAATTGAAAAGTTAACATTCCAGCACATGATATAGATTTGAATTTTTTTTTTCATCATTTTCAACGGAGTACTATGAGTAATAGGAATTTCATTTTTTTTAAATACAAATAGCTCGTGCTTTTAACTGAATATGATAAATGCAAAAATAAATGGCATTCCCTTTACAAATGAGATTCATAAACTGGATAGGTAAAGGAAACAGGAATTGCATTTTTTATTTTTTTTTTTCCACGCAGAATATGTGTAGGACTCATGAAAATATACGTAATATAATTTACACATATATTGTATACATAATTATGATTATTATTGTATATCACCTTATTTTGTGGTGAGAGGAAAGGAAAGAGAGAGAGAGAGAGAGAGAGAGAGAGAGAGAGAGAGAGAGAGAGAGAGAGAGAGGAGAGAGAGAGAGAGACAGAGAGAAGACAGAGAGAGAGAGAGAGAGATAGAAGAGACAGACAGACAGACAGACAGAGAGAGTGGGGGAGGTAAGGGGAGGAAGGTAAAGATAGATAAATAGATAGATAGATAGAGATAGATAGATAGATAGGAGAGAGAGAGAAGAGAGAGGAGAGAGAGGAGAGAGAGAGAGAGGAGAGAGAGAGAAAGAAGAAGAAAGAAGAGAGAGGGGAAGGGAGGAAGGGAAAGAGAGAGAGAAACA